ACAATCTACTCACCCATGTTGGGCCTTCAACCTCAAAACACAACTCATAACTCCTCCGCTCCAAAGGTCTTGGAGCTTGGGGGACTTATGTACTACCCATCTTGATCAACCTAAGCTAACCTCCTATTCAACTTGCTCAAACTGAGCCAACCATCTACTCACCCATGTTGGGCCTTTAACCCACCAACATAAGGAAAAACCTAGGCAATCAGCTCCCAATGGCTAATGGAATATCTATAAGTGAATATCTCTCCAGAATCTAGGATCACATTATCAAGCACATTATCTTTGACACCTAAGTGATGAGAATGTCTTCAAAAATCAAGCAACCAAATCTTTGAACTTAATGATAAGATTAAAGGGGGTGTATTGGATTAGGATTTTAAAGGACTTTTTTAGTTAAGAAAAACCCTGCAGATTTTAAAAGACTTTGCAGGATTTTCATGACTTTTAAGATTTTGCAGGATTCTACAAGACTTAAAATCAGGATTTTAATAGATTCTGTGGGATTTTGTAAAATTTTCGTGGATTTTTGACATTTGATAAGATTTCAAAAAAAAAATTCATACATTCAAATTTAAAAAGAGTCAAATACAAAAATAATAAAAAAATAACAATTTCTAGATAAATAATAATAATAATAATAATAATAATAATAATAATTCATAATATCCTATATTCTTAAATAACATTCACTCACATATCCATAACTATACTAGTCCTCCAAGTATTAGCGTCTTCTCGCTCTTGCTCCTGAGTTTGAATAATAAGCTCAAAAGTATGATCTTCATTAACTGGTAATGTTAAAGATGAAGGTTCATCCACCGCTTCAATTGAAAATTTATCAAAACGACATTCTTTACGTAGAAAGTTATGTAGTGCTGCACATACTAACACAAGTTCTACTTGTGTCTTAAATAAAAATGGAGGTGCTGACTTAAAAATACTGAACCTTGATTTAAAAATACCAAATATCCTCCTTGGTCCAAGCTTCATAGTTTTCTTTCTCTTTTCCTTTTCCTTTATTATTTCCATGTGAATCTCCCATTTGAATTACTAAAACAATATATGTTGAAAACTAGTTATATAAATAATTATGAATAAGAGACAAAATCAATAAAATTATATTATTATTTTTAGAAGCACGTCAATCACACAAGATCAAATATATCTTGGCTATCCAAATGGTTCAAATACCTCAGCCATTATAAAAAAAACATGTAAAAATGAAAATATAGAAACATAAGATGATTTTTTATATAAAAAAATAGTATATTTGATACTGAGAAAATATTTAGATATATAAATTTATTTATATACAGTAGAAACTCTTTAAATTAATAATGTCAGGACCGGAGAAATTTATTAATTTAGAGAGTTATTAATTTATCGATAAATTAATAATTATTAATTTAAAGAGTTTTTAAGTAATTATACTGTACATA